GGTGTGGTAGTGACCCTTAAGGGCAGGGAAAAATTGAAAGCAAACACTGGACTCTTCCAAGGTGTATAAAATCTAGTGAAGTTTATGTTCCTCAGTCCTCTGAGCTCTCAGCTTTGGGGTTGGAAAATAAAAACAGACACTTTGGAGCCTCATCAGCCCAAATTAAGAACACAAAATAACGTTCAAAAGAAAATGCCTAACCCAGGAGTTTAACTGTTTGGGCTGCAGCCATTTGAGGCTGTTTCTCCTGTTCTCTCACCAACAATCTTCATTGGGCCCTGAGCGTCTGCTGTGGGTATGTAAGTAGTCTCTGGCTTTCCAGCTCAAGGAATCTGGGCAGAAGGTGATTCCAGGCCAGGAAGCGTAGAAGAGTGGGGGAGTTGGTTTGCACAGGCTTGATAAGGGTGGTCCAACAGCAGTTTTCTGCCTTTAATTTTCTTTGTTGCTGGAGTCTGCCATCTGCCTCATCCTTCTTCTCCATCATCAGAGTAGCGTTTATGCTCAGCAGGCACTGAGTCTGCAAACACTCATTTCTTGCTAAGGTGGCTTACTCACAAGGAGGCTGGGGTTTTTGCTTTACCACAATACCTGTCCCCCTCCCTCTTTTGCAACTAAAACAGTGATCCATCCTCACACTGATTACTGTTTCATTAATTACTAAATCTAGCCCACCTGATCATTTTCATTCTGTATTGGGATGAACATTTTAAATGATTTTGTAGCCATTGCAGTTGGAATATTGTTTCTGATGGCTGTAGTTCATGGAGAATTTCTTTTGTTTAATTTGGGAAAGAATTTTAAAAGACTGGATCTTTTTTCTTCCAACTTCTATTTTTACTGCTGTTTCATTTTTTTCCTATCTTGTTTTCTCTTGACTCTTTTTTCCTTTGTTGAGAAGTTATGTTTATTAATATTTGGCCTTGAGAAAAACCATTGGCAGCATCTTACCTTAAGCTGATGATTAGTGCTGAGTGCTATTTCTTTTTCACCAGCCTCCTTCACATCTGTACATCTCCTTCTATTCTTAAACAATGGACAAATAAAATCATCCTTGAAAAAAAATCAAATGGGGCAATTGTACTTCTGAAAAATCCTTTCATTCTGATAATCATCAGTGACAAAATGGTGCATTTAAAAGTTATTAGAACTCTCTTATGTCCACTATAACTGGGAAGCCAGAGAATTTCTTTCTGATCACTATAGTAACCATGGCAACAGAGGAGCTAGGTAAGAATAAATTATTGCTTGCCTATTATGCCATCTACCCTTGTTAATTTCATTTTCTTCACCTTCTTATTTCCTGCCCTACCTCATTTTTACATATATAATAGTTCTTTTCATTCTAGTTCTCTTTTAGTTTATCCTTCTTTACTTTATTCTTCACTACTGCTTTTTGTAGATTTACCACATACTTTCAAGGAGTATTTTTCAGCTCATTTAATTGTTAACAGCCATTAATTGATCAAACATTGAAATGACTGTTTGAACTGTTAGTAAACAAGATTTAGCTGCCAGATCGCTGCCTTTTTCTCTTCTAATTTTTTCCCATCTTCTAGACATGACATAATAATGCTTCAGTTTCTTAATCTAACACAGCATAGTTATTAGGACGTAAGAAGGTAGGTAATTCGCTTGTCAACAGGATATCCTCTACTTTAATTTTGTATATTTATTTTATTTCTGTAATCTATATATTCTCAATTCCACAAACGTTCTGAGTGGCTTATAATAATATAAAATGAAATAGAATTAAAAGAAGAAAATATACCACCCCCCAAGCCAATGTCAATCAATTTCACAGCCACTTGATACATCAAGGGAAATAATAGTAACAGCAACAGACACATACTGCAGGGAGGGGACCCAGGATACAGTCAGTCCCCAAAGGCTTTCCAGAACAGCCACTTCTTGGTAGCTTTTTAAAATGTGAACAGGATTGGTGCTGACCTGACTTCAGTGGGAGCAGGGTTCCAAAAGAAAGGAGCAGCTACACAAAAGACATGCCCCCATGGTCCCTGATGATGGTCAGTCCCTCAAGAATGAGATGCAGAGATTGCCTCCTTTATAGATCTCACTGGATGGGTAGAACTGCTGGTAGAAAATGATTCCATTACCCCTGGACCATGTAGGGCTTTAAAGGTGACAAGCAGTGTCTTTATTCTGATACATTAATTCTCTCCTATGTATCAGTAATAAAAACAGATATTGCTACAAAAAGTCCTAAAAAGATGATTAGGGAGTTAAAAACAGTTATCTTAATCATATGCCATCTTGCTTCCTTTGAAACACTATTTGTTGATGTATAGTTGTTCATGATTAGACCTACTCTTATTTCCTGAAAAGGACCACTACAGATCCCTGATATTCCTAATTCATATTAAGTTTTTCACTTAAAGTTTTAATCATTTACTATTTCTGGGTTGTACTTTTTTCCCCCAAACCTGTTCATAGTAAAGAAATGACTAAGGGAAGGAACATTCTGCTGGGAAATTTATATAGAACAATTTGCACTGTTAAAATAAAGCTGACATGGAATAGTGGCATTACTGATCTTGGAATAAGATTCAGTAGAGTGCGTGCAAAGAAACAGGTGGCATGTATTCTACTTAGTTGCCATAGCACACAGAAATGAAAGATAGACTTGATATTGTTTGACATTAGTGGAAATCCTTTTTGAAGGGAATTACTAGCAGGTCATTGGAAGAGTGGCCTTTGGTCTTATGAACATATGATTTCATTAATATTTTCTTTGCTAATCCTAGAAACAAAATATCTAAAAATATTTTATTCTGTATAATTGATTAAAGATGAGGTCTGTTTATTTCAGCAGGCCTTATGTTAATATACAGGTAGTAGTAATTTAGCAAAGCTAATTGGGACCAGAAACTGTCATTAAGTAATGTGGTCATGAGTTGAAAGACCACATGACCATGATGCTTTGTGACAGCAGTCCCAGTTGCTGTCATTAAACAAGGACCACGTGGGTCATTAAGTGAAGATTTCATGTGACCATGACTTCTGACATCCTGTGAGCTTCCCCATTGACTTTGCTTGTGGGAAGCCGGCAGGGAAGGTCACAAATTGCAATGCGTAAGTTCGAACAGTTGCTGAATGAGTGGTGGTTAAACAAGGATCACCTGTATATGCGTTTAGGATTTTATCTAGTTCCATCTAATGTACACTTATTCAGAATCAAATGTGTACATAATCACAGATGTAACCACTGAATAAATTTTATAAATTTAATTTTAGTATTTTATTAAAACTTAAAATGAAGTACTGTAAAATTGGAAATCCTAACCAATTTAAAATGCAGTTGTATTAATGTCTTCTCAGAACTAAGTCACAATGACTTTAGTAGGATTTGCTCCCAAATAAATATGTAGGACTGAAGTCTTAATCTGGATTTATTTTTAGAGGTTTTGTTTGGAATATGTTTCTCTCCTAAATGTACATTTTTTACATAATCAATATTGTTGCATCATGAGAGAAGCTGGTCAAAATCACCGTCCCTTGATTTAAAAGAAAATGAATAGTATAATAATTATTTCCTTCCCAATGGACCATAAGATTTTTGTGTTATTACATATGTGTTTACAATATGATTTAAAGAGTTTCTGCTATAAAATAGCTTAGGCTCTTAGGGGTAATATCTGGTAATATCTTCTTGGGCACCTGCCAGGCGTCATGCCCTGCCTGATTTTTTAAAAAGATTATTTCAATTAAAAACAAAAAAATTAAATGAGATTCTGGCATGCTGCAAAGGAAAGCACCAGTCTCAAACATCACTTTAAATAATCCCTTTGGGTTCTTCATAGATATCCAGAAAATAAAATCAGTGTGTTGTTGTAGTTCAGTGTTTTGTTTGAAAGTGGGATGATTTGTCCAGGAAAAAAAGAAGAGCTAAACATTATGGTGAAATAACTTCACTGCTTTGTTTTTTCATATATGGGTATTTTGTGGTTGACTATGTTTGTCACAGCAGCCATATTGGTAGAATGTCCATAGCATGGCCTAATTTTAAATGTGCCATTAGCCCAATAAATGCATTGCATTATGCAGTTATTCAAAAAAGGGCACTTTTTATAACTAATAGGTAATAGCATATTACTCCAAATATTACTGTGCCCATCTCCATCATACTTGGTAAATAAGGCTGAGAGAAAGTATGGCTAGTTTTTAGCCAGCCTATAAATGCTGATGATAGAAAATACAACCTATTGCAATAGTAGTTATTTGGCTGAAGACTGAATTGAGAAACATAGAATATATTTTTGTATGTATGCAAAAATATTTCTGCCTCTGCAGGATTAGGAAAATTTGTTAATTTGGTAACTAAAATCAAAATCCTGCATGTACAATATTAAGTCTCACATATACTTATCTGGAATAAACTCATACTGTACCCTGTAGACACCTTATTAATGATAAACATTCATTGGTTTGAGTTGTATGGCTAGAGTTTTATTAATGTACTGTGGGTTAAATCTCTTTAAACCCAATTAACTTAGTTTAGGTTAAATAGGCTTAAGTACACCAAGAATATGAGAAGCTATATATTAAAAAAAAATGACGAGAAACTAAAATATTGGGCTAACCTTCTGTTTTAACATTTCTACCATATTTGATACAAGGATTAACATACACTAAATATCTCCAATTAGGTACCCTCCAAATGTTTTGAATTTCAATATAACCTGCAGATTATTTGTGTAGAAGCCCCAAAACTTTAGACTCTAGAACTCAGAGAGGACTAGTCTGAAGAAGGGAAATACAGATCTTTGAAAAATTTCAATATAAGCAACAGAGCATTTGAAAATATGTGGACAAACTGGAAATGTCTTTTTCAGTTTGATGATGATATTTTGCTGTTACTGTACCAAAAAGAGAAAAGAAAAGCAGGTAAACAGTAATTGTTTTGTAGCAGTGTTTCTTTGAATATTACCATCTTTCACAACCACAACACTTTTTCATTATTTTCTCCCTTCTTATTTGATAAGCTGGTTGTCCAAAAAGATGAAGATAAGCTGGTCTGCATACGATACATTTGAAGCTAATTTCAAGCCTTTGGTAGTAGTTCAGCTTGCACAAAATACCAAAGATGAAACCAAAGACTGGCTGGTTCAGAAGATTGTAGGAAAGAAGAAGAATGGAGGTGAGTGCCTTTAGTTTTATAAAAGTCAGTCTGTAAGCACTGTTGACATTTCTTTTAAACATTGATTTATAGAAGTAAAAATATCTCCTGGTAGACAATAGAAATGAGTGAATGTGTGCAGCAGGTAAAGACAAGATTTCTCAGGCTACTTTAAATATTTCTCTTTTCCAAAGATGGTGTGTGTTCTATTTTGGAAACATGAATAAGAGAGGAGTGAAAATAGTTTTGGACCTAACAAGGGAAACAATCCAAATCTTGTATTTAGCTGCAAATACGTGGGATTTTTGTGTGCCTGTGTGTGTGGGATGGGGTGGGGTGGGGTTGGGTTTTTTAAGTTACTTGGGCTGTCTGTTCCTCCGTATTATCAGAATTTATGCAGGCAGGCAATAAGTCTCAATTCCCAAGAAAGTTAACTCCATGTTCAGGAACTTGCTTACAGCAGAAGCTCTCAGATAAATTGCTTTATTGCGGACAAGACAGAAGGTATATATGCACACACACACACACACACACACACACACACACAGAGAAAAGACCTGCTTACCAGAAATCAAAGATCTGCTTACCAGAAGTCAAGTGCTGTATGTACACCTGCTTCAGGGTTTAATTTTTAGATTTTTTCCCTTCTGCCTTTTTGAATCAACAGAAATGTTATCATTCTTTTTTCCTGGGCTTGAGTTTGGAGATATTTACTAAATAATGCTTCCATCTAGCCTGAAGTTTCCATGTTGCCAGCTGCAGTCCTTTTATTTACTGAATTATGTTTTAGAAAACCTTTCAAGAGCAACGTCTGTTTGTTCTGCCATGGCACAAACAAATAACTTGCTTATTATACAAAACAAGCATATAGGAACTCTGTCCTGGGGGATCTTCAAGGGGGAATGTTTTGCAAAGAAGTGAAAGTAGGGAAGAGATGGTTATCTTACCCAGAGCTACCTATCTTGCCTAGAGCTCCCATTTTCCAGTTTTTTAATGCCCGCAGTTGCAGCAACCACATTGAATAATGGAGTTGTTGTACTGTGTGCTCCTACTATGTAAGTATTCTTTTGTTGTGCATGACAGAGAATCCTGTTCCACTTGTAATTTAAAACTGCTTTGTATTTCTAGCTAACTTCTAGTCAAAATTTTAGTTGCAATTATTTGAATAGAAGAAATGTAGGCATATGCTTAATACTCCTCCATGGAAATGACTAGTCACTTACTTTATCTTTTATTAACATAATGTGGATCTAGGATAGTGATGTAATTTCTTGAAATTTAGAGCAATGGATTATGTTTTCTTTTTTAAAATCCAAAACTCTGAAAAAGAATTATATTGATAGAAATCACTTTATCGATTGATTATGTGCCATCAAGTTGGTGTTGACTCTTAGTAATCATGTAGATAGATTTTCTCCATGACAGTCTGTCCCTAACCTGGTCTTTCAGGTCTTCCAACGACACATCCAGCACCGCTGTAACTGAGTTGTTTTGTTAAATATTTTAAATACAGCTTACCTTGCCTATTAAACTATGTTGGTATATAAAACTGAAAGAATAGATCTTTCGGAAATAATTATAAATGTTTTGATTTATTTACTTTAAAATCTTTTAAATTTATGTTACAACTAGAGCCACAAGCAGCTGAACTCAAAGGCATGTAGTGTCTTTGTCAGAAAAAGCAAAGCAAACTATGAAGTTTTTAGGGGTGTGCAAAAGGTTTAATTTTACACCATTTTGAGTGTGAAATTGGCTGTTCCAAAGAACTTTGTTCTGAGTGTAAAACATTTTCAGAATGTTTGAAGCTGGCTATTTTGTGGATTTTTGTGCTTGAAACCATTCAAACCAAAATGTTTTATACAAAACCAGAATATTTTGTACAATTTTCTGCTCTTTTTATTTATATACTAGACAGCCCATGACCTGTTGGGTCATCATTTCAGAGAGATTTCCTTACCTAAACAGAGAAACAGAATGACCAAGGTCAAAAAACCAGTTGGGGTGTGACCAACTTACGACTTGCTGCCGGCTTCCCCATTGACTTTGTTTGTGGGAAGCTGGCAGGGAACATCAGAAATCTTCCTTCCCTTCTCTTCTTCCTCCCTTTTCCTTCCTTCTTTCCTTCCTTCCTTCCCTCCTTCCCTCCCTCTCATTTCCTTCCTTCCTTCCTTCCTTCCTTCCTTCCTTCCTTCCTTCCTTC